CACTTTCTTTACAAAAACCCTTATTGAAAAACATTGAAAAACAAAAACAATCATTCCAGCAAAGGGGGGAGTCCAGCAAGCAAGTTTCTGTCATTATTTTGGGGGGCCCCTAAAATAATGTCTAGAGATTTGGGGCTTCTTGGATTGCAGCTTTCCTGAAACTAATCTTCAATCTTTGTGTTTACTTTTCTGTTTGAGATGTCCATTGAGATTTGATGATTTTGAAGGTCTTTGAATACAGATTTCTATTTAAGTTTCATATTTCCATTGAGATCTGATGTTTTTGAAGGTTTTTGATTGCAGATGTCCTTTCAATTAGTATTGCCAGAGATAGCTAAGTAATGATTCCTTTCATTTTTTAGTATTGCCAAAGATAGCCAATAAAGGATTCTTTTCATTTTGATCAATTGATTGGTTTTCTAGCATATTGCTCTGGAGTCTCAAGAGTTGAGGGGGGGGAGCGGCGGGGGGGGGGGGGGGGGGGGTTGATTAATCAAGGGACCACATTACGGTTTGCATCAAAGATCTTTCGATCCAAGAAAGAAGACACACGTTCTCCAAGAAACCGGTCTGTCTGTTTTTCTCCTCTTCTTCGGGATCATTAGCATATCAAATGGTCCCAACAGGTCCAACGAACGACCCCCCCAACGAACGACGGTCTCAGCTGCCTTGTCCGGCCGCAACTCGGCGGTGGGCACCGCGTTCGCCACGCGCTCCAATTCGCCTTGGCCGACGCTGACCGGCGGGTGGAGCGGATCGAAGGCGTCCAACAGCCCTTGGAAAGAGGAATTTTCTGACAATATGAGCAGGTCAAAGAGTCAAAGTGTTGCTTTTTCATCCTCTTTCTCGTCACCTGGCGGTCTTGTCAAGGACATGCCTTCCAAAGATGCGTGTTCTTCGGCAAGTGGTGATTCGTGTCCATGCTCACCCCCTGAGAAAAAAAAAGTAAAAACAAATGGAACCCGAAGCAATAAAACACAACAAAACTCTTTGCAGGGGTTTGCTTGGTTTGCCAGCGCTCCAGTGAGAGGGGTGCAGGGTGGTACAGGGGTCAGGTTTAAAGGACGCACACATTCCATTCTCGCATCACGTTTTGGCACCCACGACTCCAAACTTTGCCTTTTGAAGCGGAATTCACGGCAGCTTTTGGCTCGCTTGATCCAAGTGGCCGATACCTCTCTCCTTGGCAGCCCACTTCAGGAAAGCCTTCAAATCTCTCTTATTGATACCTTAGGGAAATGCAAGAGCAGCATGCACATTCCTTTCAGAACTACAAAAGGTCGCCCCCGATCGTCTGGATGCCTGAACTGTCTGCACGACATAGAAGCGTCTGCTAGAACCGGACAAAAACAAAAACTAACCTTCTTGTACCAGCAAGGCATTGAAGTCGGCGAGTCAGAGCTTGCAAAACATCGCAGAAGTTCTGTCGGAGCGGTCAACTTTACCAACCTCCCACAGAGATCCAGGATTGTCCCGTTCGAAAGAAGCATGCTCAACCAAAGTTTCAACAACCCAAAGATTGCCTGGGGGCTTAGGGCTGTGGGTTCTTAAATGCTGCGCAGCAAAGCAACACGGCTTCCCCTCTTCCTTCCCAAAGAGTTTTGAACACCAAAGTGTGAGCAGCACAAGCAGTACAAAGAACCACCCTGGCTCCAAAAATCACTCACCCAAAGCGTACAAAACCTAAAGCCAACACTGCAAGAACAATGACTAACACGTGGGCCCAGAGAATCAACATGAATTCACGGCATCAATACCCACATGTTGTTTCCTGGGAGCTGACGCGCCAGCTAGCAGGCCAACTAGCCGGAGCTGGCTTGCCCCCCAAGAACATATAAAGCACCGGCCACCGCGAACCAACATACCGCCACGTTCCGCCACGTGGCCACCAATTGGATTCACGTCCGCTGCACTGCAGTCGTATTTGGTGTAGTAGCCGCGCAAGGCTTCATCCACGTTGGCAGAGCCTAGCTGCGTTCGAAAACGGGAAGCTGCTGAGAACGGGTTCCTGCGAAGTCTTCTTCTGCGGCGCTTGTTCGAGGGTCAAAGCTAGTTGGGTTGGTGGTTTTAAGATGTGTTATAAGTATAGTATAGTATAGTATAGTGATTGGTAATTTGCACTCAGGCTCGGATGAATTGAACTTGCCTAGCAAGCCTGATACAATCAATAGGTGATCATTGATCATGTTGATGCACTGCTTGGCTTCTCGGAGAACTTCTCGACTGAGTTCTTTGCAACATCACCTCTGGGAGGTTGACCACTTCTTGATCCTAGTGACTTAGTGTTTCATGTTGATCTCTTTCTGGATGAGCGCCATCTGAAAAAATGAAACGTCATGAAATACAATGGCAAGAAATCAAGCATATACAACCTCGAAGAACAAAACATATCGTGTGACCATGTGTTGGTACGTGTTGGTACCAGGGCCCCAGGAAGTACCTTGGGCTTCCTGCTCATGGGGTTAAGTTCATGAACATGAATCATGTTCAATATCGCACCCAAACGCTCCATGTATGCCTTATATATATATATAACGACGGCAGACTAGATAGAAAGGCAAAAAAGTCAAAAACCAGGGCCTATAGCCGACCGAGCTTTTGGCATTTATCTTTGGTATTTGCCTCTAAAACACAGCACAAGTGACTTATTTACCGCCCGACCGAGCACCCAAAACATGTCTATCTTTGAGATTTCCATGCATATATCATGGAATTTGATGCGTGTTGATGAAAAGTGCTGTAAATAGCGCAAAATATGAAAAGACACCCTTCCAAAGTGCTGCAAATAGCAAGGAATACAAGGTTTCCGTTCCAAAGTGCTGCAAATATCACAGAACATGAAGGTCATGCCTTCCAAAGTCTTGCCAATAGCAAGGAATATGAAGGTTGTTTGTTTCAACATGTTGCAAGCAGCAAGGAATCAAAAAGACATTTACAGTACTAGTGAAAGTTGAACACCAGGTGCCCGAAGCGCTGTAAATACCAGCGCAAATTGACGGTGGGATGTTCAAAGTGCTGCAAGTCCCAGTGGAACCAACACCACGTGCCCAAAGTGCTGCAAATACCAGTGAAAATCAACACCAGGTGTACCAGCAAAATCAAGATAAAAATCATACATTTCTCAAAACACTGTAAATAACACGCGTCCCAAAGATAGAAATTAAATAAGTCAAAAAAGTAAAAAAATACAAGTCAAAAAATCAATGTTGCCCCGAGTCAAAATATTTCTATCTATTCGGCCGTCGTTATATATCTACATTGACCCCCCAAACCACCCCAGTGTAGGCATATATGGCATACATGGAGTGTCTGGGTCATGATGAAACCACATGAAACCATCTTCCAGTCACCGGTGAAAAAGGTCTTCACCCGCCTAGCACGAGCAAAGAGCCCCAGCCGGGGCCAGCGTCCCCTTGCATGGCCTGCAAACCACGGCGCTTCCACCAAAGAAACACATGTTGCAGCAGTCTAGGCCTCAAGCCTTAAACTGCCAATGCTTCACTCTTCCAAACCAAACTGGACAAGTCCTACAAGTCCTAGAGTCCTAGTTACTGGATGGCACCCCTCTTAGCAAACCTTGTTAAAGGTCATGAAGCATCACACATCTCCGGTCCAAAGTCATGGTGCCACTCCCCGGCAAATCCTGCCCACTTCCGCAAGTTCTGATGCAGCATAAGCTCGTCAGGTTTCCACATCATAAAGGCATATATATATATAAACTGTGTATATATATATATGGAAACAGAAAACAAACCATCAACGAGAACCTCCCAACTCAACGTTCCCTGGCATAGCAAATGCACCTGGGAGTACCCCCCAAAAAAAAACATCTATCATGAAGGGGCCGTCTTGCGTCCGGCCTTGTGCATTCATCAGCACCGTCCTTCGTTTCCCCAGTGTCCGGTCGGCCTGGTCCGTTGCCCAGGGCATGAGCTGGGCCATGAAATAGGCCATCACCATTCCTGGCGACCCCTGTGGGTCATCACGACCGTCGAAGCCGCGTTTTCGCGGCGGGGGGAGCCAAAGAAACATATATGTGCGGGTGAAGGGAGGAGAATGGGAGGGTGAGAGTTGAGAGGTCCAAGAAAGTCCTGGGAAGAACCAGTGAATGATGCACCTCCGCCTCCTCCTCATCGGTGCTATGGAAGCTATAGCCCATCATGTCTTCATAAACCCACCCCCCCAGGCTTAAGCATTTGGACCCATAAAAATGTCATCCTGCAATGGAAAGCAAATGAAAACAGTATGTCATGACCTACGGATGTTGCAGGCTGTCCTCTGCTTTTTGAGACGGGGGACGTATGGATTGCAACTCCAGTACGGCAACGATCAAATGAGCCCACGATTCGAAACTGTTGCAGCTGGAGGAAAAGAAAAAAAAACAACGCGTACAATGAGATGTTAATGCCTACTATATACCTCTCCATTTTTCAATCGCCTGATGCGCAGCCTGCCACGCTGAGAGCCGGCAAAACCATGACGTCTGGGTGACTCCACTATCAACATGTTTGGCCAAGTGGCGGCTTCTCGCCTGAATATTTTGCAAAGCCTCAGAGTTCTATATCGCGACTTTTACTATCACACCATTGTTTTAGGGATGGCCGGTCCATTTCTCACAGAAATACTTAGCTGGGAGTGACAGTGAGGTTGGGAAGAGAGAAAATGGGTACAATGGCGCCCTCATCATCTGTGAGATTATGAGGTTGAACGTATGGAATTTCACAACCTATAGGGTTTATAGTTTATAGTGGAAGTTTTATAAAACTTAATGGGCTGGGGGCTACCTGGGATGAAATTTCATAGTTGAATGCGAGAGAAAACGAGGAAAACAAATCTCATCATGTCTAATTTAAAGTCTTGCAACACATGATCCAGAGCTTCGGGAAAGCGCGCCGAAGAAGGAGCTAAAAGCGGCATGACCGCAGCATGTGACGACAGCACCCTGTTGGTGAAGAACAAGGTCCAAGTCATGGGTGTATAGATACCCCCATATCACCCTGCTTCTTGTGAAATGCATTGAACATACGACGCCTAGGCGCAAGTGAACAGCTGTTCAGCTGTTCTGTCTGCTGTCTGCTGCCTGCCAAGAAGCGATGTCCTCAGTGCCACTGGCATTCCAAACTGCATCTGACTTCACCTGGTCGAGAGCACTAGAAAGACTTCATGTCAAACAACGTCGGCTGGCATCATGTCCTGGCAACAAACTTGTGAGGACTGGGATGAACAAACAAGGATGGGTTAAAAACGGATTGTAAAGCAACTCGCCAGGAAATGACACTTCCTACTGAACCATACTGAACCGGTCATGAAACAATTCAACATGAATGACGTTCTTGAGATTTTGACCTGTTCTCAGCTGAGGGAGAAAGCCATGCAGCCCAAAAAACATATGTGTATCTTTGTTGTTGATCCTTTTGGAACTTGTCTCTACAAAAAAATGGTTTGGCAGGATGTTCCACCACCCCTCGCCCATCAACGCCTTGCTCTTATCAATCTTGGTACCCTCGAAGTTACCTTGGGCACGAACGTTTGCAGTCACGAAGGCGGACGCTCGCGGTCGCGCTGAGCTCAAACATGTGAAATATCATCAGCTCATGCTGAGAAAATTAATCCCAAACATGTGCGCCTCGCTAAGTTCAACAGATGCACCTCTCTAAGTTCAATAGACTGACAAACACTCCCTAAGGTCAAAGACCTCGTTTTACTGGAGTTGCTCATACAAAAACACTACTCAATGAAGTGAAGGTTTTACTGGGCCTTTGGACTTCTGGGGGCTGAGTTCGTTGTGCTCGCTGAATCGAACACAGACTTACCGCGGCACACTGCTGAAAGACCTTCACGATAGCATCAGTGATCGGCCGGATAGCCTGCAACATGTCTGAGCATCACTGAGCTTCCGTCCATACCGAGCTACCACCGTACCGAATGGGAAAAGCTTCAGTAAGTGATCCTTCCAAAACGGTTGGAAAGCTGAACAAATCTAGGAGTTCCAGTTGTAATCTCAGAAACTAGGGAGTCTAGCAGGCTACTAGCAGGCCAAACCCTCAATTAGTGTCAAGCAATTGCCTCCTCAACGTCATACGGATGGCCAAAGCCCACCGATTCGGCTGCCAAACTGTTTTTCACAACGCTTTTCAAGGCCCTGCTGCACAGGAAATAACACAAAAGCTTTTCAGAATGTGCTGGAACATGCTCCAAGGGCCAACCTTGCATGACTTGCTCCACCTATATAGTTCTATATACACATGACTGGTGGATGCTGGCCACCCACCTGGTCAATATCAGAACCTGTTGTAATGTATCATCCCGAAAAGTTCCGTTCAAGCGCTTGAAACCACCCACCAAATGACCAGTTACAATCAATTACACTCATAGAGCAAAATTGAGGTTTGTCCATCACACTCACATGACTGCCCAAAACTTGAACCATGACTCTTTTCTCGACTCCTAGCTTTCTGGGCGGCTGATTCCAATAAAAAATCATATGTTAAACCATGTTAAACCAACATTCTCGCGGAGCCCCCGGTCCAAACAAACACAAAAAAGCTTCGGAACGCCAACATCTCCATCTCCCGGTCCAAAGACCGTACCGCCGGTCCAACCGGTCCACCGAACCGCCGTCACCCACCGAGGGGCGATCGAGGTGTGATTGGCTCCGATTTGCTTGGCCAGGTTGGCCGCGCGGTTCCGGGTCTCAGAGCCGCTGTGCTCCTGGGTGCAGTGAGGACCGTGTAGTCCTCTTCTACATGGTTACGGCAGGCTATATAGTCTAAATCTATCATTACATTGTGTATCTGTTGGAGCTATAGAGTCATGCACATTGATGTGTGTGTGTTAGATTTTTTACGTCATGAATTAGATTAGATTGGTATGGGCACGGGTCATGAAGCAATTAAGGGACCAGGATTCAACTGGTTTTAGTCACTTGTCTTTGGCAGGCCGCAGATTTTTGGCCCACAGCCATATAGGCCTCATGAACTTTGCATCAGTTGGCATCTTGGAAGTTTAACGCATTTTCCTGCATGTTTGAGAAGCTTGATGAAATTAACTGCCCAATGAGCAAGACTGATGTGGGAAGCACGATCTGCGTCTTCATTATGAAAAATACTGACAACGATAGAGACTGATGTCCTCGCCAAGCACTTCACAAGCCAGTTGAGGTGTACCAAAACATCACTAAATTCACTGAACGTTGTGCTATATGCCACGCCGCATTCAGTGAGACCATGACAGATGGAAAGGGCGATATATCCAGGATTGTCCAGGGATTTGTGGAATTGAAGTGGCTCTCTGAGAAACTGTCTGCAAAACATTTTTCAGAGGATATGTTGGACTTGTCCTCAGTCTTCTAATACGTCTTGATAATGATGGATCGTAAAGGCCATCCACTGTAGCTGGGATAGCTACTATATATTGCCAACTTGAATGGACACATATTCCCTGGAAGGGGATTCACCCATAGATCAACATCATCGCAAAAAAGAGCACAGCCAGGTATTGCCTAAAACACCGGAGTCGACGTCTTTGTTTGGCTGACGACCTAAGCGGTCGTCGACTCTGTTCACCGCCCTTGACTTCGAAGTCTCCGAAGCCATGTAACACGTCACGAAGATCTTCCCGCACAAGTCCTGCGTGCGAAATGCCCAGGGAGAGGGCTTGAGGGTTGCTCACTGCGAAGCGTTCTTCGAAGACCAGGACGGATGAAGGCGATCGCGAGCGATCGCGATCGCGGCACATTCCGGTCGGCTGCTCGAGTCTACTGGTCACCGGATTTGGGCCTTTGGTCACCAAAGGGGTCCACTGCATCACTGGGCCTGCGGATGCCGCCTGTAGGCGGAATCTCCCCACCACCAACTGATGCCAAAAGCACCCATGCGACTCGTTCCAGCTGGGCCTGCCATGAGGCTGGCGTGTAGAAGGGCCTTTTCGTGACCTTCCGAATGTCCGCCAGCACCGCCTTTTTGGACCTCGCCGCAAGGCTGACAGCATCGCCTGCTTTCAGGGATTGCTTTCTAGGAGTTGGATTCCTTCTAGGAGTCGAAGGGGTCTGAATGGTTGTAATTCATTGAACAATGCCTCTTGTTGACAGCTGCTGAGTCGCTTGCAATTCGTCTTAGCACCGCCACGCATCTGCCAGGAATGTAAGCAGTTGACTCCTCAAACTCCAAAAAATAGAGATGTAAAGCACTGTAAAGCCATTCTGGTAGAGTAGGAGGAATATATTTATCAGTCTGCATGATCAGCCAGTAGCAAACTGGCAAAACATACATCATGGTTACATGGCACCATTTTCCCCATGCAAAGTAGCTGGTGTCATTCACTTCCCATGGTGATTCCAAACCCTACTGATTCCAAGGAGACCCCATCCCAACCCCTTCCGAGCCGGCCTCTCAGTGCCTTCGGTCAACTCCTGGAAGACCCGCTGACACCTGGGAACGGCGAGGTCGGCCGTATACGGCCGTATACAGCCGGCCCTCACGGACGTGAAGAAGAGCCAAACACTCCATGTACCAGGGCTTCCGGGGTCTAATCATAACCTTAAAAGCCTTAGATGTGAAGGGGGATCGGACCACCCCCTGACTGGGACCCTTGGGATGGTACAGTTGACCTGGGTTCACTGGAGTCAGGAATTTTGCCAGTGCCATGGAGTGTTCGGGTGCCAGTCTCTGGCAGGTCCTACGACTCTTAAGAACTCTCACGTCTCCAAAAGCCATCTCTGGCAGTGAGGGCTGCTATGAACCCCCATCCATTGGAGTGCTTCTCACAAAGAAGGCACTGTGACGGGACACATCTTGGAACCTCAAGTCACTTCATACCGCTCTTGTTTGGCGGATCCACTGAATGGCTGCTGTGAAATGATGTCGTCTTTTGATCATGGTGAATGATGATATCGGTGGAGGTGTCAGGCACAAATGATCCTTGGGACAGGCGCGCACTTGCTTCAAGAAAATCTCATGGTGTCCTGTCTTGACCCGTATTTTTCCAACATCCCTCCACACTATGGCACATCTCAATTACCAAGCTCTTCTTCGTCCATGCATGACCTCTTCTTGGAGGTATATAATTGCATGACCTCAGACGCCCTCCAGATCCAGCAAATGGTAAGCCTGCACTGGCACTGACGAGGCACGTCACGGCACGTCCCACCGATCCCATGTTAAGTGGTCACATGTGGCCACTGGACACCCTCCCCACACCAAAAGAACCACACATCGCTCACGACAACCTGAGGCTGCGACATGATGCCCACCAACCTGAAACCGAGCACGACTGCTGCCATGCGTAGTCTCACAGGATCGGATGTTTGAAATGCTGGAAAGCAGAGTGAAAACCAGGTCACAAGGAGGTATATAACTCCGATGAGATGTTCATTGATACCTGGGTCCCACACTGGAGCATTCTAGGAGCAAGAAGACGCGACGAACGTACCAAAGGGCATCGCTACGAACGGAACGATCGGACGCCGCCCCGAACAGGGCTCCATTCCGCCAGGCTGCGCTGCAGTGGAGGAGGAGTCAGCTCCACCGGACAAAGGCAAGAAGTAGCCCCGCTGCCCCGAGCGGCGGAGATAGTCCCAAAGCCTCAGTGGACTGGCGGCGAGTGGACTGCGAAATGGGGCGAAATGGAGCGAATCCCCGGTTCTCCTAGCCTTCCAAGACCATTGAAACCATGGTTGAGCTGAGTAGTTGAGCTGGCTTTGTAGTGCAAAATCCTTAAAAACCAATGGTGGTTCGGTCATGTTCGGTCAAGGCTATTAAATCAATGGTGGTATGTTCGCCGACGAAGTCCGAACACCTCGGTGTCGGTTCGCTGTTTTCGGAAGAAGGACGCGAAGACAGGACGGGTATCTTGACATCCGTGAAGCGTCCATTGGAATGATCCATGATGCCCATTGGAAGGATCCATGATGCCCAGTGAATCCATGGATCCATAAGCCACCAGGACGGGCATCTTGAAATCCGTGATGCTTTGACCCCTCTTTGACCCCTGGGTGGCTTGAAAAGGCTCCATGCGAAGAACTGGACCTGAAACAAACACTGGAGGTGGTTGGAAAAGGCTCCCTGCTGTGAACCAACTGCGTCTCCTTTTTCGATCTGGGACTGCACACCGAGGACCACAAGGCGGCCCACATGCGAGGCATCAAAAAATCAGGACACCCCTTGGTCACCAACCTACAACATCCTACAACATGGTCAATGTGGTCACCAAATGAATCATCAGTCCGATGATTCCATCTTCAAGGTTCCCGGTGGATCCAGTTGCCACCATAGCTGGTAACCAGTGGTTCCAAAGACTAACCATAGACCTGTACGAAACCCTGGTTCTGTATCTAGTGGAAACTGGCATCCTCTGGGATGATTCTCCGAGGGTATCGTTCCTTCCGGTGCTCCGCCTCGCGCCCACGTGGGCTGTCGCCCGCCCTCACGACGGCCGCGGCCGCGGCCGCTGTTGGGCCGAACTGCCAGGCCGACGGGCCATAGGCGATCTCCTCCATGGGTCCCACGATCTTGGGCCTTGGGAAGGGGTCGTGGGTCGCACGTGACAAAACGACCATGTGGGGGGTGTGGGGGGGACTACGGCGCACCACTAAAGGGTCGGTTTGGGAGTCTCCCCCCATGGAGGTGACCCAAGACCGAATAATCGGAAGAAGCTGCAGCACCCACGATGTTTAGCATAGTGGTGCCGATTCACCCTGGAAGTTGAATGCACTGCACGTGACTATATATTAGTACTATATGGCCATCACCAGCAGCCTGTTCTTCAATAGTATGCGGTTCTTCTGTGAGGGTCCACGTTTTTGCACTCAGGGTGCGTTCACGAAGGACACAATGGACACAGCTTGAGGGTAGGGTTTTTGAAGCGAAGTTCGACACTAAAGGTGGATTTCTGCCCTGCAAAGTCTGGGCTTGCCCTATGATCCTAAATAAGATGTTAATCCCCTTCTGGATAAAGACGATACGTCGGGCATTGCAATTTAGAGTGCCAAAACTGCAGCATGCAACCTCCCAGAAGGGTGTGCACTCCATAAAACTGGAACAGCTGACATTGATAGCCAAAAATACAACTTAAAAGTCACAGACCAAGTAGCCAAAATGAAGTAGCACAACCCAGCAAAAGTTTTAACACTAGTTTTAACATCATAGGCCATAGGCCCCTCCGTACTGCAACATAACATATCTCACTAGAGAATTGCCTACCCCAGCCTGCCAAACAACTGCACATCTAGATCTATATAGATATCTACAAAGCAAACGTTGAAGGCTGAGCACTTGGTTTTATAGAGAGGACAATTGCCAGCTTAACAAGGATGGCTGTGATGACTTTATGGAGTGCACATGTTCAATGACGAGAGTCTGCAACTCACAACCTTGAGAAGTCCTCGAAAATGCCAAACAAATTGTGCTCTAAAACTGAAGCAGCCAATCTTTGGTAACATGCAAACATCATGCCACTATAGAATCACAAACAATCAGTCTCTAACCAGCAAAACTGGCCGCATAAACAAAATATTGTTTTTCAATGCCCAACCCCCATGATTTGATAGAGGAAATTGCCAAGGGGATGATACATGTTGTTTCTTTTGCTCCCTGAAATGTCCTTACCAAACAGAACAAGTCACAGGTCTCCAGACACTTCCTGTCCGGGTGCCCTGGAGTAGGAGACCGAGACTGGGTAGGGTAGGGAGGGGCCCGTCTAGCCAGGTGACCCGGACTGGTTTCGCACCTGGTAAGTTCGACAAAGACGATCACATAAGTTATATCCAGCAGTCACTTGGAGGATGGGTGCCGAACTTGGAGGATGGGTGCGAACGTCCACTCACTCCGGGACGAACCAAAACCATCCCGTCTTGTGACTGCTGGATTGTTTCTTTGTCTCTCAATTGTTTGGAAACACCACCTCTGCACGCCGGCCACCGTGAACCAACAAAGACCTCCAGCATCAGGCTGCTCGATGGGTTGAGACTCAGCAATGGTCAGGGGCTCCGCATGGCAACAGCAGAAGTCCACCTCAAGACAACGGCGCAGGCGCAGCTGTCCCAAGCCAATCAGACTAGTGCAATGTCTATTTTTGACTTCCGATTTTGGGTGCATGTCGACGATCACTGTTCAATACTTTTCATGTGCCCCTCGATTCGTCGATATGTCTCAGGCTTCACCTCTAACTCCCGCCCTTCGGATCGATAACGCGACCTCCACACGCTGCACGGTGGGGGTCGAGGAGGCTTGGAAGGAGCGAGCAATGAAGTTCGAGCGCATGGAGCGCACGTCGTTCAAGTTCACGGTAGCCACCTCGTGGCGCTGTCGGAGGCAGGGGGGTCTGCGAACACAGGTCGCGAACAGGGGCCCGCGGAGGGGGGGGGGTGGACCTTAAGAGAATTCGGAGTGGATGTTCTTCCGCGTGATCTTTCCAACCCCCGATCGCGCCGGCGTCCTGGTGGCGCCAAGGAGCAACCACTTCAATCTCATCCTGAGAGGATCAAGGGGATGTGGAAGCTTGCCGCACATGGGAACCCTACACCAGGCACCAAAGAATTGCCCTCCCAAGAAAGTATGTGTGTGTGTGTGCGTGACTTCTTGGGAGAAGGGCAACAAATATAAATTGGATTTGTGGCCACGAAGTGTGGCAAAAAGCATCATCCCAAAAGAAACAGAAAACTACACAGTGTTCACCTGAAAAAAGACAACAACAACCTGGAATTTCGTCTTCTACAGGCAAAGTTAGATCTTGCACACTGACTGAAAGCACAAACACACAAAACAAGAACAAGTCTGCCAAAGCAAATGCACGTGGGCGAGCATGCCAAACTGCGTCCCTTGTGCCAGCAGCTTCCCGTTGCTCCACACCATGCAGCACCCGTCGAAGTAGAGTCGCCCTGCCAGGTGGGAGCTGCTTTGCACCCGGTCGCAGAAAGGGATCATGAATCACCACATGACCAGGCGGAGCCTGGGTGAAGCCGGATGTGCATGCCATTGTTTTAAGGCTCTGTCTGGAGGGGTGAAGCCTCTACCAAAACGACACCCGAGCCTCCGTCACCTCCTTTGACATTGGCATAGAGATACCTTTCGCACTCAGGATGAATGAGGGGACATGCCCGCGTCTCTGAAGAGCAATCTGGTGGGCCATCCTACCTTTGAACACTCCGGCCCGGCCAAAAACCATGGTGTAGCATGGTCATGACACAAAGATATATAATGCGCCCACACGCGAATGTGGTCAATTCAGTGCACTCCTGGTGAAATTTGAATGACTGTGCAACCAACACAGGGGGAACATTTAGAACTCAATTTTACAAACCAATGGCATCCATACGTGTCCCTTGTATGTCATCGTATAAGTCAAAGGTGCGGACTTGATCACGTTCGCCCTCCCCTTGCACGTGCCAACTCCAACGCCCAGAAGTCCATGGATTGTAACCATGCATGATCGCACCACAACACTGACTCCTTAAGTTTCAATGATATAAACGTTTAACGACCCATTTTCCACCTGTTTTGTCCAGGAAAACAATCCCCCAGGTTTATCCGCTAACCCCTGCCCAGGGAAGTCCATTTCCACTGCCGAAGCCACACCCCTCCGCTTTTGGAAGTGGCACCACGCACCAGGTCGATGCGCTTATCCAGCTTCCTGCGTTCGATGTGTTCTGCGAACGAACGAACCCAAGGTTCCACATCATGACTCGAATGACTCCTTCGGAGACCAACGGCTTCAGTTTCGAGTGGGGACCAACCGATGGAACGCCAAGTCCATCGCACCAGTCCCAGCGATCCCACCATTCACATGAAATGACCAGCAAAACGGTGGACCGAGCTTCGAAATGGGTCTAACCAAGCCGCTGCAGTCCATCTCTTTCGGGGGGGTCCGATGCCTGCAGTCCATCTCCGGATCCACGGGGGATCCACGGAAGGGTCCGATCCACCGTGTTTCATTGGACCCCCCAAAAGACACATGGCCCTTGGTCCTGGGATTTGGTGAAGAAGTGAGAAACATTCACTCATCTCACGTGAGAACAATTCATTACTAAACACATTCCCATGGTCCTGGGACGATTTTTGGATTTTTTGGAGAGCATCGTTCACACAGCTGGTCCCAGTCAACCTTCAACCTTCCCTGAGACAGAAGAACTCCTCATTGAAAGACCTGAAAGACCTTTCCCTACAACAAAGGTCTTCGCTTCCCACCTACACATGCCTGATCAGGCTGGCTCTCCCAAACAAGCTCGACCAGTGCCTCAGTTGGTGATGGCTCCCAGAGCCGTTGGCGATAATCTCCACACCTCAGCACCCGAAACCTCGCCGTGCTATACCCAAACGCGGTTTCTGGAGATTTTGCTTTGTAGGTGCAGCTGGGTCCATATGAATGTAAAGAATGGAGCTTTCCATCAAGTGCTGAAGGAGCTCTGAGTTCTTCCTTCAAGTATAGGTGATGGCCAGGAAACAGGCCAGAGAAACAAAGGCAAACCATGCAACATATTCTAGCAAACCTCCCTACAAGTCCAACACAACGCAATCATTGGTGCGACATTGCAATTATAGTTCAGTTCGTCTTAAGCGATTGAACAAGAAACACATCAACTCGAAAACAAAGTCAAAGAGAGTTCTCCAACAAAAGGCCTCCAGAGTGGCCTGTCCATCATTTTAAGAATCTTTGAGCAATTTGAGCTGCTAAAAAATGTCAACCTGCTGCTGTTAGATAATCTTTGCATATTGGATCATATTGGCATATAGTGCTTGTGGATCACTTTGCAGCACCCAATCCCCTGCCGGAGGGGTCGGCCTCGATGGCCACTGCAACTAAAGCATGGTACTGAAGTGAGGGTGGTAGCCATGCCTGCCAAGATGCCATCTAAGGCCAGTTTGATATGTGGTGCATCTGGTGTGAACAACTCCTCGCAAGTCTCTGTTGCCAGGCAAGTATCCTGCAGACGTTCCGGCTGGCGTTCCAAGACATGTCATGCTGAGTGGCTCAGTGTGTTGAGCGACGCGGCTTAGTGTGCTCCGTTTCACCTGGTCCAAAGCACTCCCGACACGACAGCCACTGGGTCAGCTGGCTAAGACGGCCCAATAGGTGGCTCTGATTTGGACCCCGAACATGAGACCTAATGTACCAAACATACGCCTTATACTTACATCACATCCAAAATTGCTGAACAACTTCTTGGCACACCATCTATCTTAAACTCATTGCTTTCCAACCCAGACTCTGGGAGGTCCGCTCCTTGGTGGATACAGCGAAGACTCCTTAGTCGGTAGTAAACGAAGCACCGGGCGGAGCGAAGTTGTTTGGGCCACATGCCTCCAACAATGGCCAACTGCCCTACGAAACTGCAAAGGTTGCAAAAACTGGTAACTCTTGCAAAGCTGCAAAACCATGTAAAACCACCATCCAGGTCAAATGTTGCGGTATTCCATGCTTTGAAGTACCAAGGTACGAATTCTTGGGGACAAGTGGGCCACCATCCACCATCATCCAGTACCAGCATGCCATCCACCCCCTGCTACTCAGCTGCCCACCAAGTCCCGACCATCAGTCCAAATCCAAGCGTCCGAAGGGCACCTTCGCTTGTCCAGTGATCTCACCAATCTCCCTGGGGAGGAAATACTCTTCCAGTTCGCCGAAGCCTGGCAGTGGCTGGGAGGGCAAAAAACAGCGCCATGCGACTGGGTTGATCAAACCCTCCATATGGAGATGTAAAACCATTCTGGTGGGGGAGTCGGTAATTATATCAACATATATCAACAGTCAGTCGGCGCCGGCTGTGTCGAAGCCAAAAACGGGAGTGGCGCCGAAATGCCGTTTCACGTGCTCGAAAGGACATCGAACACGGGGGAGGGTGGCAGCTGGGGCCTTGCTGCGCGACAACCAGCCCAACAAACAATAGTCAGCCCCATGGAATCGTGAGTGGAAGGAAGCCGCCTGCTTTGCTTGGATCAATGTACCATGGTGTAAACCAACGCATCTCCCGGTAGTTCCCGTCATTGGCCAAGTAGATCTTCGGGCGGATGCCGACGATTTTGCCTGGGTTGAGAAGGAAAGGGTCAGGACATGTGTGAAGGTTGGCAAGTTACATAAACGTCTGTACAGCACACTCAAGAGCCAACAACACATACAATCCAAACATCTTCCACGCACTCTTTTCTGAATGTGGTGTGTCTTTGGTGGATTAAAAGCCCTGAGAGTACGAAGGGGGTGTAGGGACTTTATAGCATTTAAGTGCGAGTATGAGCCTGCACTTCACTTACTTGATGAGGTCGTCGTTTCTTGTTGGTTCTTGCTAGGTTTTCTGGTTGGATCCCTCTGCCAGACTGTCTCTATGATGGGTGAAAGTCGTTCACTAATGGCTTGGGGAACTGGAGGAGTATCGCTGGCATTTGCCTGAGTCAACTGCTATAACACAGCCCCCCTTTTCTATAATACTTGGATAATCTTGGATAGAGATTTGGAACGTTAGTTGTGATCTGCAAATACATTGCATGTCTTCCATAATTCTTGCTCCACCATGCATGCAGATCACCTCAGGATTGCTCGGAATGGGCCCGTAAGGCACCTGTTTTTGCTACTAGTAGCTTCTTGTTCCTAGTAGCGATGGCCTCCAACCTACTTGCGCCTTTAAGTACTGTAAGGCATCTGTTCAACACACAAGGATTGGACACCAGTGTCTCCTTCATGTCTATGAGTGCGAGGGCTCCAGCTGTGAGGCGAGCCGGACGTATGGCGCATGGCTCAGACTCAGAACTGTTTGGGTTTGATGTTGCAAATTGTGCAGCTGCTAGACGGGTGATTGTCCTGTTTAGAGAACAAGGCACCAAACGGCCTTGCGATGCCTCGCACCTTTGACGGTCCCAAAATCCAACATCTACATAAGTTCACCCGGACCCCTCACAAAACGAAGCTCTGTGACCCTTGTGACTCGGTGCCCACCTGGCCGCGCCCGCGCAAGTCCGCGGCAGAACCATGCGCGTGTCCGCGCGCGCGAGCCGAGTGTGCTGGCGAGGAGCGGTTGACGACCCAAACCCGGCAGTTGTAGGGCACGTTCCGGTGCATGACCTAAGGGCAGGACAAGCTCAGCGAGGGCTCTTCAGAGGTTCTTGGATTCATGACATGGTCCGTAGGTCTGGAGGCTGCACCAGGCACACCGTGGTCTGATCTGTGAGCATGCCGTTCCCAGTGGTGTTCATCCTACCCCACTGGCCGACCGGACTGAGAGATCTCGCTACCGGTTCGTCGACCGAGCGGCCGGCATGCCGATGTCGCACAGGATGTCATCAGTGACGTCACTTCTGAGGATATCAGCCATGGAGGACCAGGCATGCCTTGGATGACAGGAGGATTTGGGAAGTTGAGCCACATACCTGACCGGTTGTCCTGGCTACATCTGACACCTGAAGCCTGAGAATGAAGCAACACAAGGACAAGTCTTTCGATCTGCCTACTGTGTTTGTCAACTCCGAGGGTTTACTGGTACCTGCGTGGGAAACTATGTTCTGTGCACCATTGTAACATGCCTCTGACCTGGGCCTGCTTGGGGATTAGACTCACAAATAAAAAGTCGGGGCTTTGGTGAACCATGTTGCTGCCTCCCAACCTAGTAGCTTCTCCTTACTAGTTGCAATGGCCTCCAACCTAATCCTAATAGCGATGGCCTCCAACCTAGTAGCTTCTAGCTACTAGTAGCTTCTTGTCACTAGTAGTATGCACTCAACAGTTGCAAAACCGAGATCGCCACCCCTGGCTTGTCAAACACTTCGAACAATGCAACGATCGGCAGAACGATCAGCCAACATCAACCCGCTGTTGTTGCGTGGGACCTGCACGTACCAAGATGCAAGAAGGTATCATTCTCCAGGAACCAATCCTGGACGTCGAAGACGCGATGGGAGACACCACCGTATCTTGTGCCGTATCGGGCCGTATCTTCCTCCGTGCAAAGCTGAATCCAAAACAGTGGACTCCAGCTTCAGCATGTCAAGACATATGTAACATTTTAGTAGTATTTGAGATGAGCAGATCTTTTTTTCCATCGCCTTCTCAAGGAGTTTAGCAGGGCTAAAGGCGAGAAACAAAATGCTCCGCACAGCGGAAAGAAGCGTCAGCAGCAGTGGATCAGCTGCGTCATTTCTCCCACCCACTGTGCAGGGAGTTTTGAAAGTTCAGCAACAAGTAAAATTTTGTGAAAAGCTTCATGATACAGTGGAAGTGATCGCAGAAGATCATCCACACAAGGCGAACCACCCTCGCGATCGAAAAGCAGCAGGCGCAGATGAAAAGTCGACGGTTTAATCCATGCAGTTTGTTCCAAAAGCGTCAGGATGTTGAGCACAGTAAAGCTGGAGAGAAGGAAACCGGATTGCCTCCATCCCTCTGCACGGTCCAGCTCAAGGATGGTAGCCTCTTCCGAAGCAGCAGATCTGCCGCCTTATATTCTTGTAAGCTTCCTGCTCATATCTCTACATAATTAATGATCCTTCCAATGGTCCTTCCAATCAACCCATTGGAAGCACCGCACCGTGTGTTCTCGACCGCGTCTTCTGCCGCACCTCGCAGGTGTAGCCAGTGATTTCTAGCCTCGGTGGTTCGTCGGATCCAGGTCTGCCGAGGGTGAGCTCCAGCCCGTGGTTTCAGAGGTTCGATGGCGCGGTCTCCCCGTTCGATGACTTCTAGGTGGATGACTTCTACTGTAAATTTGAACCTTTTGGGGATTGCGCCATCTATTCTCTCAATCCAGTCGTGTAAACCTAGGTGGCTGCTGAAGACACCCTCACCCCCTTGCAGGACGGAATGTTACATCGATGGGTAGGCTACCAAACAAACACATGGACCCAACTCGCTGGTATGATGATGTATGATCGACGTGAAGCACTCCACTTGATGATTGATATGTCATGTCCATCAACTATAATTACCCCCATAGACTCTCAGTTTATATATATATAACTATACTATATATAATATATATCATATTGTACCTGACCAAACAGTGACATTTTGATCGATACCATGGAAACTTTGAGCTTCAAACCACAATTGACCGTTGATGGACATCAGCCGATGCCGGGATCTCCTGTACATCCACATCCTGCTTGGGTGCCAAGGAGCTCCGGTCCTGTTCGAAAAGTACAGCCCTGAGCCTTCGCCTCCTGCAAAAGGAGGTTCACTGATTTCAATTTCAGGAGGTCGCTGGACCAGGAAGGTTGACTGGATTTGTCTCGGAGAAAGAGGGCCTGCCCTCTGTGACATTGCAGTGTTTATTATGTTCTTTTCGGAGGTTTTGAGGGGCTTTTGGGGGTCCGCCATGCTTGAACCTCACGATCTGTACACACCCACACCAGCACAAGTGGACGTAAGTTGCTCCTATACAGTAAAAAGCTTCGAAGAATCTAGGACTGGAAACAGTGATGAAGCCTCCTAAAATAACATGTCACTCTCCAAACATCTCCAGGCAACTGGCCAGCTCTCACCCAGAAAATTGGGATCCTTTGGACTCACGTTCGCACGCACCAAAGACTGCAAGCCAGTATATAAACCAAATCAGAGTCTCCAAAGCACCAGCCTGGCCCCCCGTCCTTGATGGATTCCTTGACTCTTTGAAGATTGCCCTTGAAGTCCTTGGGTCAACCGCAAGGGCAAAATGAAACAACCTCTTACATACTGCTCTGCCAAGCTATATGTAACTCATAAGCTGGTGGAACATGGTGGTCACATCCAAAACTTGGTGTGAAACCTCAACGACCCGCCACACACCCAGTGCACACCATCCAAGAAAACTCCTTCCATGTCCCTACTGGCACCAGTCATTGGTGTCACTAGTGCCTTCCTGCATCTTCCTGCCCTGGTCCGTACCAGTTTTAAGCACGGCCAGGAGTCCATAGCCCATTGGTTCAAATTGCACGTTGCCACTTTGACCTCGGCGCCCAAGCGTTGGGCGTTCTCGGTCGAAGAAGAAAAACACCAAATGCTTTTTGGGGGGGGGACATCTACGTAGTGGTACCCAAATAGATAGTGGCACGGTGTCCAAGACATTTTTAAGTGGGGATCTACTTTTGTCTAAGGTCGTCACAGCTGGCGCTCACATCCCCAAGAACGAACGCAACCATGCCCTTCGCAAAGAACCACGCCCTTTTCTGGCTGGCATCCTACATCACCCCCAAAAACATCAGTTTTCCCAGGGAAATTGTTGGAACCTTCACATAAAGTAATAATTAAATGATGAACCTATAGATGAACCTTCTTTGATCCTTTTTGGCTATTCGTTTGCTTTCACTCCGCTCTCGGGTCAGCTTCGCGACTCTTCGACCGCCAGGTGACGAGCTTCGGGGCCTTGACCGAGGAGCCCGCCCGCGCCTGAGGAGCCCGTGGTGGGGAGTTCAGGTCGTTCAGTTCGGAGGATCTTCGGATCGGATCTTCCAATGCCGAAGCATGGAACATCTCTGCCATATAGCTCGTGTTCTGAATGAACAGGTGGAGCAAATTGAGATGATTTATGGGTCGCAGCCATGACATGCCATGGCCATATGACCTTCAGGACTCTTATTTTGGCTCAGTCGCCACCTCTTCGTGCCAAGCTACATAGAGCTTAGTCAAGAATCAGTGACTGGGACTTGGGTCCATTGGAGCTGTGAGAGGGAAATGAACCGGGAGTTGACAGAAGTGCTGGTTACTGAACACTCGGGGTCCCCAAGATCCACATGTATCATTTGTCTCAACTATAGGGTCAAAGGTCAACCCCAGCAACTCCGGCAAATATGGGACACATTGGCTACGGCTACTGTAGATCATAAACAAATCGGAACTGGCCCTTGGAAGAAACGATAACAATGTCTCTCTAGAAAGAGAGGTGAACTCCACTTCCATGTTTCTTGGGGGGAGGGGAAGGGATCTCCATGCACTCTTAGATGATGGGCACTATGATGGGCATCTCTGGGCTGTCTGAGGAAAGAAACTAAGGTCCGGGCTCTCCGAAGGGAGCGAACTAAGCGGACATAATTAGATATCACAACGGTGGTGACTCACCATGTTTCCGCTTTATTTTACTGGGCTACACCCTACTCTACGTATTATGTGTTAGATCAACGGGTGTGACTCTTGTGAACCCCCTTCAAATGGCCATCCGGGCGGCCCAATGTACCCTCAGACTGAAAAACGCCCTCATGACTGCAGCCTTCCAGGGACGGCCCAGCTCGGTCTTAGACCTGGGCATTGAAGTAAAAACCTCTGGGAAAACGATGGAAAACGGGTTGATCTCATTATAGTTATATTTGATCCCTACAATAAGGGCCTTTCCAACAAAGGTTGAAGAACCCGAAGTAGACTATCCCAGTTCGGTACCCTGGTAGGGTCCTAGTTCAGGTCACTTAACCTCTGTTGCTTAGTGGCAAAAGTCCTGTTCCTGCATGTTGTGGGCACCTGCACCGAACTTTCTACCTCGGACCGGGTCGCCTTCTTGGCTGGAGGCTCCATGGTCCTGGAGGCTCCATGAGCGGCAGTCGTTGCTCCAGGTAGCTGATTTCGCTTCAGAAGCATATAGTACCCTCCCGGAAACAATGATGGAAGTGGAAAACACCCTGAAAGTACAGGAAAACTGTACCATGATTGGTTCAAAGAACCAATATTGACCCTTGGATAGAGTCCAGTTTGGAGTTACTTCGGGAATATATCATACTATAGCATACTATGTCCCTTTGTCATTATGCATTAATAACTGGGAGATTTGCCAATCAGTGGGGGTGGTTGAAAAGAGGGCAAGGGGGGCGCATACATTTCATAGATGGGGTGCCTGGGATATCATGTAAATTCCAAGAACCTGTAATAGTGTAGTTATCTAATGCATTTAGAAGGCAACACACTAGGCAACTATTATAGCATGCTTTAACAAAACCACTTTAACAAAAACACATATAAACATACACATCTTGTGCAAAGTAATTATAAGGTATATAGCATACATAATACCTTATCAATACTTCCTTCACCATCCTCGCTTTTAAAGCAGGCTCGAGCCTGTCACATCGGCTCGGATGAAACCATGCAGCACCAAAACAGCTTTGACTTAGAACCGATCCTGAGAAATCCGAGAAATTCGATCCTGAGAAAACAACAGCATTGGAAAGTTGACGTCGGAGAAATCCGATCCTGAGAACCTCACTCAGCCTTGGAGTGAGTAAAGAAACCTTGGAGAACCTGACCTGTCCCTGACCGAAGACCAAATTGAAGGATAGGATCGATAGGATCGTCCGGCCATGCATACTGTCCTGGTCCCAAAAAGACTTTCGAGATCTTTGGGGGATAATGGTTGAGAAGGGCCTCTGTTGGACATGTGATTGAGCAATCATCTATGCCATTGCCATGCCAAGCTTCAGCCGTCAAAGCCAAGTGCACTTCCCCACTTAGTTCTCTAAATACTTCTTCAGGTGACACCCATAACCTAAACGCAATATGTACATGTCAACTAACCATATGTTAAATACCGACTAATACCGATGTTCTTCGCCCAAACACACCCAAACCGTCTTCTGTTGGTTGCTCGTCTTCTGTCGGGCAGGCCGTCTGCCACGCAGGAGCTCGGGCAGAGATCAGGGAACTGCGGTGAAGCTCTCACGGTCGATCTACCAGGTTCGTCCGACCCAAGTAGATGGGTTCGGAAGCTGGGACAGCTTCACCCGGAGAGCTGGGACACCCGGCGATGTGACTCGGGCCAATCTGCAGGAAGTCCAAGAGCCAAAGGCTAAACAAACATCGAATCGATTGGAAGTGACATGACGTGACCAACTCCACGTGCCAAAATGGTGGGATCCCCATACCACCATCCAAGTGAATCATAAGCCCTACTCACAGGTGTGGCCTACGAAGGGGGAAGTGGAATCCTTTCAGAACGACCGCAATCACCTGCTGCCCCACTTTCATCCGCAAACACGGCGATGCCGACGGTTTGCCTAAGGGGATGGATTGCACCACCAACAACGAACCTCCAACACAAAAGATAAACATGAAGGAGAATCATTCAAGTTGAGGGCTGCTTCAGGTGAAGTCTCATGCTTCTTTTTTTTTCTGGACCATGTGTTCGATGATTTGACTGCTAGTGCCAAAATGCGGAGCCCGGGTCCACCTGCCCTAGTCGAGCTGAGTTCCCGTACAAGGCCTCCAACAGGCAGTTTGGACTCCCTGCAGGATGGAGGTGGCTGGTCCACAGGTGCACTCTTTACTTCTGGGGTCATGTCTTGGTCGTTGCCTAAAGGCCGCGAGAAAGGTCAAACACTTCGCCTGACGAAATCAGCAAAAATCAGCCACACCCCCACCAGTTTGGGCCACCAGTTCCATCGCGCTAGGAATGAATCCCATCTCAATGTCTAAGTGACCATCCCAACCAGAATGGGCGGAGACACAGGTTATGGATCCTCAGCATCATATCCCAGAGTGTTGGAGTGATAACTAGGGTGTCCTGCAGATTTTCCCCTAAACCAATTCATCCCAAGCAGGATGGGAGACACAGGTTATCGATCCTCAGCATCTCAGTCATCTCCTCAGCATCTCTTGGAGCGACCCCCCCAAAACAAGGGGTTCCCCTCAACCAATTCATCCCATACACTCCATGGGACTGCCATATGCCGCCCCATGGACCCCCTGGCACCACCTCTGGCCTGATCGGCAGTCCTATGGCAGTCCCATGGGTCGCGTCTGGGCGATCATGGCCACCTACTCACCAACAGCATCTCACAACAGTCCGGCTACCTCGCCTGCGACGCCGCCGGCTGCCGGGCAGACCTGGGGCAGGATGGATAGGACGAACGCACAAGGACTAGCCGGTGACTACCCGGCTACGCCCACCTCGCTCTCAACGAATGAGTGAAACCGGTCCTTCAGCTATGTATGGTGGCATTGTTATTAATTATATTATATATACTTCCATGTTAATTAATTCAATAGTATAACTTATAAAGTGAACAGACTCGAGTTGTGAGGTCAGTCTGAAACCCGTTGGGGCTGATCAGATCTAATTCGCTGCGACCCGATGCAGCGGTGCTCTGAAGGCAGCGAACACCTCAGAAATCCAGTTCCGTTAGTTCCATAGCTTCAGGACCGGACCTGTCATGGTTGATGGTTCTGAAGCAACAATAACAATTCCGAGACACTCCATGGGACTGCCATACTGACTGCCGATCAGGCCAGGGGTGGTTTTAGGGGTCAATGTACGTAAATATGCCAGTCCCATGGAGTGTCCGGTTCTGTTCAGGTTGATCGTTGAGTTGTGAACCATCTCCAGGGCTCCAAGCAGGCTTGGACCAGACTGTGTCCTCAGCAATCCACTGCGTGGCACTGTCGGCACGGCCGGCACGGTCGCCACGGCCGCCACGGTCGGCCTGGACAGGACGAGCAGGTCGCATGGGTGACATGAGAAGGTTGGCCGTTCAACGGATCTCGTTGATCCACCAAACATCTGATTCGGCACAGAGATTGGATTCGCGCCACGCGCGGAGTCGGCCTTGGGGTGGTGCTCCGAGGTGCACCTCGGAGAACAAAGCACTGACGTGCACCATGGGTGCACCGGTGTGGGCAGAACGACACTTGGTTGGTCTATGAGGCTCTTGTCTGGCATTTTTTGCCCCAAGAATTTGACAGCAAACACCGCCAGCCCAAAGTCAGGTGGCCAATTAACTCACACGAACGCAAAGTCGATGTCATATGGCTCCGGGTAGTTTTGACCCACATGGCTCACGTCTGCGTTAGATTGGTTTTGCAGCAGCTCCAAACAGGTGTTTTTGCCTTGACACGGCGGCGGTCAGGGTGCGACCAAAAGGAGTGCTTGATGGTTCCCCAAATGGGATATCCCCCCTGCAGACGAAAAAAGAACCGTGAAAACGGACCCCTGTAAGACTATATTCTCATCTATATACCACCCAGTGGTTGAGGGTCCATGTTAATCTGCAGGAGGGTAAAGCTCCTGACTCCTTCCTTGGTCCACCTGTTCATTTTGAGAGGCGAAGCCAAGTTTCCAAAAGGTTTTGAAAAAGGCTAAGGTTAAAGGTTATCCACTGATTGGGTAGGCCTCCATCGCTGGCATTGCGGATCATTGCGGTGTGCCGTCCACAAGCAGAAAAGCCCATGAAAATGAAAAGCTACGGATACGGTAAGTCGGCTGAAAAGACCTCCGACCAACTCCCCCATCAATCCGCTAGCTAAAGACACGCTAAATTCACTCCGAGGTCCGTATTCAACTCCGAGATCGTTTTATTTTTTGGCATTCAACTCCTATATAGTCACTGAGACTAAGCAGTGGGTCAGATTGCAAGTGGTCTAGATCAGCAATGGTTTTTTCAATGAAAAAAAATAAAAAAATTGAAAAAAATGAAATAAATATAAAAACATGAAATAAATATAAAAAATATGAACCAAATATAACAAAAATGTAATAAATATAAAAAAATGAAATAAATATCAATAAAAATCATTTTAAATCAAACAAAATCTTTTTAAATCTTTAAAATCTTAAAAACATCTCAAAATATCTCAAATCATCTCACAAGCCGGGGTTCGTGGTAAAGGGTTTCGGAATTACAAAATAATTTTCCAGGAGCAAAATCTTAAAATATCTCAAATCATCTTTTAAAATCTTAAAAATGAAAAAATATGAAAAAAAAAACATGAAAAAATATGAAAAATATGAAAATTTCTGCAAAAATCTGAAACAATAACAATAAATAAAACAAAAAAACATAGAAATGAAATATATGCAAAAACACTCTCGTGGTGAGCGTTGTCTGACAGGAACAGTCTGAGATTCTGCAGACTGTTGTGGTCTCAGACGCTTGCTTGCTTGTGGCAAGTGTGTTCAAAAAAGAACAAATTGTTGTTGTCACACATGATCAATTGTGCGTCAATGGGCTGCTGAAAATAGAAAAACAATGAAAAACATAGTTTTTCTATTTTTTCTGTTTTTTTGGTGTTCTTCTGTGTTTTTTTTGATTTTTTCTGTTTTTTTTCTGTAAAAAAACATGTGCGATCCAACCCTTGCAGATCTGACCCACTGCTTAGTCTCAGTGATATAGGTTCCTTTTTTGGTGTTGACATGTGTTGACTTTTCCAAGCAAAACCCCAAAACCTCTCCAAATGGGCCACTCTGTTTGCGTCGCGTCCACTTACCCGCTTGTCCCTCCGACTGCTTCTTTCAAGCCGGAGGTACTGCCCAATCGGACGACGGTGGCCACTGGCACGGGCCCCTGCGCGGGGGAGGGAGGTTCAGCTTGGGAGTCAAGCAATTGGTGTGTCTGCTATGTGTCTTGACATGGGGCACACCCCCTGGGTATTTGTTCGTCCTTCTTGAGTGTCCAAGAAGAGCTTTCAATCCTTGGCATTGAGTATCAGCAATCCCTGAGGAAAAATGCAGCTGAGTGAAGTCAGCATCAGTGATCAAGCTCCGCTGGTTTCGAAGCTTCAGGGCAAAGGATCACGTCTCTCCCGCACACCCAGGTACTTACGCAAGCTGCTCTCCGAGGGTGCAAAGCTCATGGTGAAGAGCACCCTCTAACCCATACACTCCATGTATGCCATATATGCCTACATTGGGGTGGTTTGGGGGGCATCTGGTGCATGTCAAATCTTCTATACACTGCGCTCGGTCGATCCCTTTTTGGTCGCACGCAGGTCCGGGTTCTCACCGCAAGAACCCTGGTTCTCACCGCCGCAAGTCTCGTTGCCGCCGCGAGAGTTGCCGCGCCTGCATGTCCCACTGGAAGGGTGGGAGGGAGATAGAGCATACATGGATGATGCTTCGGGTTGCTATGCCAACAAACATGATTGAGCTTGCGCTCGTGGTTTGTAGATGCCTCACCCACATACAAAAATCCAATGATATTTGCATGATACCATTTACAGTATTAGCCACATCCGGGTGCCATCCTGGCTGCCTAGCCCTTGTCTTGAATTCATCTGCAAAGACAGGTTTACGCTCCTGGTGGAAGGTATGCCATTGGTCTGGGAACCAAAAAAACCAATCGTTCTTCATTGGATGCAAAAACACACCTCTTTGTTGTCTTCATGCCGTCTGAAGACAGGTCGATCATCGGCTGAGAAAAGCATGCGGGGTCGAACTGTTGAGTTCAGGCTTTGCACTGCCGAGAACTCAAAAACCTAACGATACTTGCCGATACTTGGCGATGCAATCACGTCCATGAACCCCACATAACCCAAACAGCATCACGTGATGTCTGGAGCTTCAGGTGAAACTACATCATGATCATCAATTACTCTGTGCCTCCTTAAGAGATTGCCGCTGAACATGATCATGAGTACTCCAGCTTGGTGCTTGGTGCTTGGTCAGCCAACTGCCGCACCCGGCGTCCCACTGCCAGCGTGAAGCTCGGGGGTCGCTCGCCATCGCCTTCGGGTGGAATCATCCGGGGTTTGAGAAGATTTCAGACGCCTGGTGGATGATTGGATGATGGTGGATGGAGAATCCATACATACATACATACATACATACATACATAC